GATCTCTTAGTAGAATCCCTGCTTACCTAGTATTAGAGATCACCTCCCCATACTAGGTAAGCAGGGATTCTACTAGGTAAGCAGGGATTCTACTATAGAGATCACCTCCCCTCACCTCCCCATACTATCTCTATAGTAGAATCCCTGCTTACCTAGTATGGGGAGGTGATCTCTGTAGTAGAATCCCTGCTTACCTAGTATGGGGAGGTGATCTCTATAGTAGAATCCCTGCTTACCTAGTATGGGGAGGTGATCTCTATAGTAGAATCCCTGCTTACCTAGTATGGGGAGTGTAATCTCTATAGAGAACCCTAGGCTTACGCTAGTAAGGGGGGTGATCTCTATAGTAGAGATCCGCGCTTTACCTAGTATGGGAGTGATCTCTGCTAGTAGAAATCCCTGCTTGATTACCTAAGTATGGGGAGGTATCTCTATAGTGAATCCCGCTTACCTAGTAGGGGAGGCTGATCTCTGTAGTAGCAATCCCATGCTTAGCCTAGTATGGGGAGGTGATCTCTGTAGTAGAATCCGCTGCTTACCTAGTAAGTGGGAGGGTGATCTTCTGTAGTAGATCCCTGCCTTACACTAGTATAAAGAGGTGATCTCTATAGTAGAATCCTGCTGCTTACATAGTATGGGGAGGTGATCTCTGTAGTAGGAATCCCGCTTACCTAATGATGGGGAGATGACTCTATAGTAGTAATCCCCTGCTTACTAGTAATGGGAGGTGATCTCTATAGTAGAATCGCCCTACATAGCTATGGGAGGGTAATTCCTATAGTAGAATCCCTGCTACCTAGTATGGGAGGATGATCTCTGTAAGTAGAATCCTTGCTTACGCTAGTATGGGTAGGTGATCTCTGTAAGTAGAATCCCTGCTTACCTAAAGTATGGGGAGGTGGATCTCTTGTAGTTAAGAAGCCACATGCTTACCTAAGTATGGGAGGTGATCTCTGTAGTAGAATCCCTGGCTTACCTATATGGGGAGGTGATCTCGTAGTAGAACGCCTGCGTACCTAGTAATGGGAGGTAATCTGTAGTAAATCCATCTTCCCTAGTATGGGCAGGTGACTCTGTAGTAGAAATCCTCTGCTTACCTAGTATGCGGGAGGTGATCGGCTGTAGTAGAATCCCTGCTTATCCTAAGTATGGGGAGGTGATCTGCTGATAGTAGAATCCCTGCTATCCGTATATGGAGGTGATCTCTGTGTAGAATCCTCTGCTTACCTAGTATGGGAGGTGATTCTATGGAGTAGAATCCTGCTTCGCTAGGTATGGGGAGGTGATGGCTCGTATAAGTAAGAATCCCTGCTGTACCGTAGTAAGGGGAGGTGATCTCTGGTAGTAAAATCCCCTGCTTACCTAGTATGAGCGAGGGTGATCTCGTATATAGAATCCTGCTTACACTAGTATGGAGGTGATCTCTGTTAGTAAAATCCCTGCTTAACCTAGGTATGGGGAGCGTGACGTCTATAGTAGAATCCCATGCTTACCTATATGGGGAGTGTGATCTCTAGAGTAGAATCCCTCGCTTACGCTAGTATCGGGGAGGTGATCTCTATATGTAGAATTCCCGTGCTTTACCTAGTATGGGGAGGTGATCTCTGTAAAAATCCCTGCTTACCTAGTTGGGGAGAGGTGATCTCTGTAGTAAATCCGCTGCTTAACCTAGTATGGAGGTGATCTGGCTATAGTAGATCCTCGCTTACCGTATTATGGGAGGTGATCTCTGGTAGGTAGAACTGCCTGTTACTAGGATGGGAGCGTGACTCTTATAGTTGAATCCTGCTTACCTAGTATGGGGGAGTGACCTCTATGAGTAGAAGATCCGCTGCTTACCTAGTATGGGGAGGTGATCTCTTATAGTAGAATCCTGCTTACCTAGTATGGGGAGGCGATCTCGTGTAGGTATAACCACCGCTTACCGGTAGTATGGGGAGTGAATCTGCTGTATGTAGAATCCTGCTTACCTAGTATGGGGAGGTGGATCCTCTTATAGTACAGAATCCTGCCTGCTTAGCCTAGTATGGGGATGGTGATCTCTGATAGTATGAATTCACGCTGCTATACCTTAGTATGGGGGATGTGAGTCTCTGTAGGTAGAATCCCTGGCTTACCTAGTAATGGGGAGGTGACTCTGTAGTAGAATCCCGCTGCTTTACCTAGTATGGAGAGTGATCTCTCATAGTAGAATCCTGCTAGCCTACGTATGGGAGGTGATCTCTGTAAGTAGAATCCCTGCTTACCTAGTATGGTGAGGTAATCTCTATAGGTAGATATCCCTGCTTACCCGTAGTATGCGGGAGGTGATCCTAAGTAGAGATCCCTGCTGTACCTAGTATGGGAGGTGATCTCGTAGTAGAATCCCTGGCTTACCTAGTATTGTGGAGGTGATCTCTATATGAGAAATCCCTGCTTACCTAGTATGGGGAAGGTGAACTCTCTGTAGTAGGAATCCCGCTTACATAGGTATGGGGAGGTTTTGGATCTTGTAGTAGGAATCCCTGCTTACCATAGTATCGGTGGAGGTGATGCTCTGTAGTAAATCGCCTGCTTACCTAGTATGAGGAGGTGGACTTCTGAGTAGAATCCCTGCTTCCTGCTAGTATAAAGGAGGTGATCTCTTATAGTAGAATGCCCTGCCTACCTAGTATGGGAGGTGATCTTGTACGTAAGAATCGCTGCTTACCTTGTAATGGGGATGGTGATCTCTAGTAGGTAAGACATCCGCTGCTTACCTAGTAATGGGAGGTGATCTCATAATAGTAGAAATCCTGGCTTTACCTAGTAGTTGAGGTGAATTCGTCTATGATAGATAGAATTCCCTAGCTTACCTATATGGGAGGTGATCTCTGTAGTAAGAATCGCCTGCTACCTAGTATGGGGAAGGTGATCTCTGTCAAGTAGAGATCCTGCTTACCTCAGTAATGGGATGTAATTCGTAGTAGAGAAATGCCTGCTTACCTAGTATGGGTGAGGTGATCTGCTGTAAGTGAGAATCCCCTGCTTTACCTAGTAGGGGAGGTGATCTGTAGTAGAAATCCCTGCTTACCTAGTATGTGGGCAGTAAACTCTGTAGTATGAAAAAATCNCGAACCCTGAAGCGCATGACTAATTATGTACGAAACTTTGACGACTAATTATGTCTCGTTAATTTCTACCGCTGCTTACCCTACAGATGCGGACGTGTCATATCGCATGAACGGATGGCTAATGTCGTGTTTGTCACTCATGTAACAGACGGTGCACAGGTCGTAGTCGAAGCACTTAGTACACTTCCAGCGCATGCCCTTAATGCCATGCTTCTTGCAGGTATCACAGATTATGTTGGGATGCTTGACTCCTGCAATGAAATCGATGAACAACGTTAAAGCAACAACGTGGCTATCTAAGTAGCTATCTAGCAGGAGAGATGTCTAGAGCAACGTGGCTATCTAAGTAGCGCTATCTAGGCAGGAGAAGACGTCTACGAGCAACCAGTGGCTAATCTAAAGTAAGCTATCTAAGGCAGGAGAGACATCTAGAGCAAACGTGGCTATTCTAAGTAGCTATCAATAGGGCAGGAGAGACGTCTTAGAGCAAACGTGCATATCTAAAGTAGCTATTCTCAGCAAGGAGAAGATGTCTGAGAACGATGGCTATCTAAGGAAGATAGCATCAATCTAGCAAGGAGAGACGTCTAGAACAACGTGGATTATCTAAAGATACTATCTAAAGCAGGTAGAGATGTCTAGATCAAGGTGGCTTATCTATAGTAGCTATCGTAGCAGGAGAGAAACGTCTAAGAACAACCGTGTCTATCCTAAAGTAGCTACTAGCATGTAGAGATGTCTAGAATCAACGTCGGCATATCCTAAGTACCTATCTAACAGATGAGATGTCTAGAAACAACGTGGCTATCTTAAGGCTAGCTATCTAGCAGGAAGAGTATGATCTAAGAAGAAATCGTGGCTATACTAAGTATCTAGCAGGAGAGACGTCTAGAGCAACGTGGCTATCTAAGTAGCTATCTAGCAGGAGAGACGTCTAGAGCAACGTGGCTATCTAAGTAGCTATCTAGCAGGAGAGACGTCTAGAGCAACGTGGCTATCTAAGTAGCTATCTAGCAGGAGAGATGTCTAGAGCAACGTGGCTATCTAAGTAGCTATCTAGCAGGAGAGACATCTAGAGCAACGAGATAGCCATAGATATCTACTTTAGATAGCTACTTAGATAGCCACGTTGGTGGGCTATTCTAGAGTATGCTATCTTAGCATGGAGAGACATCTAGAGCAACGTGGCATCTAAGTAGCTATCTCAGGAGGAGAGACGATCTACGAGGCAACGTGGGCTATCTAATGATAGCTTATAGGCAGGAGAGACGTCTTGAGTATAGAGAACAACGCCCTCACCCCCTCACCACCCCAGAGCTACTCTAAGTATGCATATGCTACAGGAGAGAGTCCGTCTTAGGTCCTCACACATTGTTGGCGATCATAAGTAGCCTATTCTTAATGCCAAAGGAGAACATCTTAAGTAGCAACTGTGGCCATATCTAAGTACTATCTAGCAAGGAGAGACGTCTAGATCACGTGGCTATCGTAAGATAAGCTATCTAGGCAGGCGCAGAGACGTGCTAGAGCCAACCGTGGCTATCTAAGAGCTATCCTAGAGCAGGAGAGACGTCTAGAGCAACGTGGGCTATCTAAGAGAGCTATCTAGCAAGAGCAGTGTCGTAGCAGCAAACGTGTTATCTAAGTTAAGCTATTCTAGCAGGAGAGCTAGAGAACCTTGTGTAGTAATGTCATAAGAAGCGCAAATACGCGCAATCTATCGTAAGTAAGCAGTCCAGACCATAGCAGATGCTTCTAGAGCAACAGTGTGCTATCATAGAGTCACGAACTAACGTGCAGCAGGAGAGACGGTCGTAGAGCAACGTGGCCTATCTAAAGTAGCCTATCTAGCCAGGAGAGACTCTAGGCCAACCGTGGGCTACTTCTAAAGCTACATGTTAATTCTAGCAGAGTGATATGTCGTTAGAGCAACCGTGGGCCCCCATTAAAGTAAGCTATCTAGCAGAAAACTGAGTCCTAGAGCAACGTGGTATCTCATAGTAGCTAGTCTACGCAGGCATGAGATGTCTAGAACAACGTGGCTACTTCGTAAGTACTATCTAGAGTGAGAGTTACGTCCTAGAACAACGTGGCCCTAATCTGAAGTAGCTATCTAAGCAGGAGAAATGTGAATTGGAGAATGGTCAATAATGCCAGCCAAGCGTAGGCTATCTAAGTTAGCTATCTAGCAGGGAGAGACATCTAGAGCAGACGGGCTATCTAACTATGCCTTAATCTAGCAGGAAAGATGACCGTCTTAGATCAGACAAGTGCGCTATGCTAGCAGTAGCTAGCTAGCAGGCCAAGAGATGTCTAGAGCAACGTGGCCGATCTAAGTAGCTATCTAGCAGAGAGATGTCGAGGAGCACGTGGCTACTCCTAATTAGCTCATCTAGCAGGAAGAGACGTCTAGAGCAAAACGTCGGCTAGCTCTACTGAGCTAATATTCTATGCTCTAGGGAGAGACGTCCATAGAGCAAGCAAACGTTGAACTATCTAACCATGACTTAGAGCATAGTCAGGAGAGGATGTCTAGAGCAACGTGGCCTATCTAAGTAGCTATCTAGCCAGCGAGCAGACGTCTATTAAGCAACGTGGCTATCTAAGTAGCTATCTAGCAGGAAGAGACGTCTAGAGCAACGTGGCTATCTAATAGCCTAACGTGTCTCAAGCCAAGATAGCATGCATCTATAGAGCTGACGGGCCCTTATCGTAGTGTTGTAGCAGCCGTTGAAAGATGCTAGCCAGGAAGAGATGTGCTTAGAGCAACGTGGCTTATGCGATACGTAGCTTCGTAGCGAGAGAATGTCTAGAGCAACGTGGCCCTATCTACAGTAGCTACAGAGGAGACGATGTCTAGAGAGAAAGGCGTGGCTATCGTAAGTAGCTATCTAAGCAAGAGAATGTCTAGAAGCAACCGTGGCCTATCTAAGTAGGCTATTAGCAGGAGCAGACGTCTGAGACCCAACGCTTGCCCCTCCCCCCCCATGCTATCCTAAAGTAGGCTATCAGCAGGCAGAGATGTCTAGGAGCAAACGGTGGCCCTTATCTAAGTAGTGCTACGCTAAGCAGGACACGATGTCGTATCTAGAACACCACACTGCAAAAGACTTCGATGTTCATAAGTATATAACCATACTGTAAAAAAAGCATTATTTGAGAATCCGATGACAATTGACACTGCTGAGCGCTTTACCCACATAAAAAACTTAATTACAAAGATAAGATCTGCAATTTAAATCGGCAGTTGTTGAAAATTTCAGGATCGCCGCCAAACCACCGTAGCAGCGTTTAACAGATGTTTCTGCCACTTAGTCGCAGTGCAATGTTGTCCGCATCGCAAGTCTGCTTTTGCACCAGTCACACACTGGACACAGTATGTGTGTTGGCCTATTAAACTCCTTTATCATTATTGTCACATGTCATCGTGTTGTAAAGATTGGCAGCTTGAAATTGTATTATAATTTAAAGAACAATTGAAAGGTAAGCACGTCTCGGCGTACACCGACGTAGAAATGAAATGTGTTGATTTCAATCCAATCACACGTGGTGTTGCTTATCCCATATCATCAGGTTGCTCCACCATAAAGAAAAACAGGCTCAAGAGGACCTCACAATAATCCTAGCATAAAGCGCGCTATCGAATTTCAACCTTCTCTTTTCCGCCACACTCAACGTGCAGTTACCTTCAATGTACACTATCAGATCATATACAAAGAAAAATAATCGGATAAAAGCGCTCTATCAGCTCACCTATCCAGATGCATTATCATAACACTATCAGCATCATTATATATGCCCCATAAGAAAGATAAGTCGATAAAGCCGCTCCTAGTCAGTGCTCATGCCTATCAGTGCATTATCATTACGACTATCAATCCAAATATAGCAAAGATCAAATAATGTCGGTAACTAAAGCGCTCCGCCTATCATCCTCACCGCTATCAGTGCGATATCATCATCACACTATCAGATCATGATTATAGACACAATATAAAAATTACACTCGATCAAATGCGCTTCCTAATCATCCTCCTAGTCCTATCAGGTCGTGCATGAGTCATATACGATCTACTGCCCAGATCCCACACTGATATAGCAAAGAAACACATAAATTTCGGATAAAGCCGTCATGTACTATCACCTCACTATCAGCACAGTGCATTATCCTTAACACTCTATCAAGATTCATACTATTAGCCAAAGATAAATCATAATCGATAAAGCCGACGTCGCCTTAGTCATCTCACGCGATAGCGCTGCGGCAGTCTACTCATACATCCTAGAACCCAGCTTCATAATATTAGTAGCGAAGATCATCAAGAATCAATCGCCTCAGCATCATAGCGCTCCTATCATTCGCGACCTATCAGTGCATATCACTCATCACTCATCGAGTGTATCATCGACATAGCGACAATGCAATAAAATAACATTCGGATTTACACAGCCGCTCCTATCATATCACCTGACTCACCTGGTTCACGGATGCGCTATCGACTATGATCATACACATCAGATCAATATATAGCAAAGATACAATAATCGGATAAAGCCGCTCCTATCATCGTCATGCCTATCCACGATGCCATTAATCATACACTATCAGTATCATATCTAGCAAAGCAGAAAGCATAATCGATCAAAGCAGCTGCATAGCAGCTATGCCTACACCATTCATACAAGTGAGCATTACTCATACACTATGCACTGATTCTAGTAGTGATCAGCCAAAGCAACAAATAATTACGTATAAAGCGCTCCTGATTGCACAACTAACACCCTTATCAGGTGTAATAGCATAGGTCATCAGCGTATCGAGATCCTGAGGATATATATGCGTGCCAACAGACAGAATATGCCAAGCAGTCGAGGATATAAGACCGCCTCCTATCACTGCTCACCTATCAGTGCGATTATCATACAACTATCAGATCATATAATACACAGCATAAGATATATCGGAATAAACGGTAAGCACTCCAGATTCATCTCAGACCTATCAGGTGCATTAATCATACCTACTATCAGATCATATATAGCAAAGATAAATAATCGGATAAAGCGCTCCTATCATCTCACCTATCAGTGTATTATCATACACTATCAGATCATATATAGCAAAGAAAAATAATCGGATAAAGCGCTCCTATCATCTCACCTATCAGTGCATTATCATACACTATCAGATCATATATAAGCCCAAAGAAAAATAATCGGATAAAGCGCTCCTATCATCTCACCTATCAGTGCATTATCATACACTATCAGATCATATATAGCAAAGATAAATAATCGGATAAAGCGCTCCTATCATCTCACCTATCAGTGTATTATCATACACTATCAGATCATATAGCAAAGATAAATAATCGGATAAAGCGCTCCTATCATCTCACCTATCAGTGCATTATCATACACTATCAGATCATATATAGCAAAGATAAATAATCGGATAAAGCGCTCCTATCATCTCACCTATCAGTGCATTATCATACACTATCAGATCATATAGCAAAGATAAATAATCGGATAAAGCGCCCCTATCATCTCACCTATCGGCGCGTTGTCGTAAATCCGCAGATCGTACGCCCCCTGGTAGCCGACCCGGTACTTAGTCCTCGACCCCGAGTCCCACTGCACGACGACGGTCTTGTCCGGTGTCGCCGTGCTCCCGGCCTGACCGATCTCGACGATGGAGCCAACGTGTCCCTCACCGCTGTCCTGGTTCCCACACTTCCAGTCGCGCCCCCTCACAACTCTGATTCCCATCTCCATGTGCTTCCAGCCGCGTCGACGCAGAATCTCGCCGCCGGTGGCCGGGCGGGCCGCCGCCGTCGTCGTCGTCGTCGTCGTCGTCGTCGTCGTCGATGATGGGAGCGCGAGCTAACGAGGCCGGCGGATAACGAAGCCGACAGCTGAAAGTGAGCAGAAGAAGAAGAAAGGGTTAAGTTGATGATTATACAGTTAGATGTGAGTTAGTACAGCACACATCTTTATACAACTTTCACAAAGTGAGCACAAGAAGAAGAAAGATGATTATACAGTGAAATATGTATTAGCAGACACCGTTACACAACGAACACCTGTTTCTAAACGACACTTCAAGTGTTTCCAATGCAATTATGAAGTTACTAAACTTACTAACTAAAGCTATTGTATTCTGTGCTTTTCCACTAACACCGTACCTCAGCCCCCACATACACACACGCACGCACATACACCCTCAGTATGATTTTATATCTTTATGACGCACGTGGTGTTGTTACGTGTATATATGTGACAATAATAATGATAACAGCACGTGCACAAAGACATATTTGTAAAAAATACTCCCGAGGATACCAGAGCTACTCTTCCCAAGGTATCAGTGCCGGTCCATTAGTTCACTCGACATTAAAAAACTGACGACAAACTGACGACATTACTAAAACCACATGTGCCGATCATTACCAGGGCAACACTCATCACTCATTATGCAACAAAACACGACAAGCGCATGCATACATAATACGCATCCATATACTCCCGAGTGTTGAGTTTGACAGCTCAATTATCACGGCTGCCGAATATCTGCTACGGTACATCCGCCAGACGCGACGACAGGCCCGCACACAGACGCCACCGTGGCGACAGACGCCTTCGACCGAAAATACGCGTTCTTTTGCCGTGCGCGTGGAGCTAGGCGCTGCATGCCTGTCTGCCCGCTAATTGGAGGAAAATGCAGAGCAATTGAGGGTGGATGACTCACGTTGACATCTGTGTAGTCACAAGCCGTCCAATCAATACGCCGCCAGTCATCTGTACAGCACGTAACCTCATAAATCGGGGCACCCACCCCAAGCAAACTCCCCACCTCCCCAAGTTCCCTGCTCCCGCTGCTGCTGCTGCGCGACAGATAAACCGGGATGATGCAGCAAGGAAGATGAGGATGCTCCCGAATAAAGCGCACATAGGGTTCTGATAGAGAGACGAGAAGCTATGCATATGCAGGCTGCACATTATTATAGGCGGCGATAAATTGATCCAGAGCCGATGATTGGACTTTCTATTAATTTTATCGGCTTTACAGGCATCTGGTTGTGATTTGGTCGTTACTTCATACGTGCTGCTGTAGTACTATGCTAAATTAAATTCCATCCAACTGATAATAGCTTTACAATTAATCCCATCACGGACAGGAGAGCCATACGCACGCGCACACGCATACACACGCACACTCACACGCACACGCATACACACGCGCACGCACAGGCGCACGCACACAAGCGTGCAGACACACAGACGCGTTGATTGCCAGAGAGCATAGAGTTACATAGACGTTTCACATATTTTTTAACAGATTTCGGTGAATATGACTTATGATTTTGCTCGAGAACTTTATTACAGCAACGAAATAACATTTCGCAATGGCACACACACACCCACACACACGCACGCACGCACGCACGCACACACATCCCCCCCACACACACACACATACACACGCACGCACGCACACAGACACACACACATAGCGGGATGCACAGACACAGACACACGTACACGCACACGCACGCACACGCACTACACGCACGCACACGCACTACACGCGCACAGACACGCACACGCACTACACGCGCACACACATACATACACTCACCAGCCACTCAATGAGATGATTCTCAATGAGTGTCGGGAATATTCGTGCAATCAGACGAGCCTGTCAACTCAATCACTTCTTCATCCATATACCCGTCTAGATACCCGCGATTTTTCAATGCTCGTAACAAAACTCTCCTGACTCACGCATTTCTGGTCAGGAAACTATTCCACTGAAGCTTGTAAACGCTTGTCTATCATGAAGGCATCTCAGTGACTCACACACTGCGAGAACGAACATACGTGGAAGATTTTATATATAGACGAATATTTATTGGCTCACGTTTTATACATATTTCGGGGTGTTCTTTTGTAAGCGCAATAACATGAGAATTCAAAGCACTACCAGAAATCGTTTTTCATATTTTAAAATATTAACAATATCGCTTCCAAAGCATCTAGTCCTCAAATATCACTAGTGCTAGAATTTCGAGTTACATGTGGAATGACACTGAAAACACTGTGTGTCAGCAGTCAGTACTGATCATAGATCGCCGTGATTATTTTGTTTAGCATATTTCTCTGGCTCTAACTCTCCATCTGACCAAACACAACAGAGAAATTCCGCTGATGACGCGGCTCCTGGTAACGTGGGGTTTCCAACAAAGCCTCATACAACGCAGTACTAGGCCATGAAATCACACACCCACTTATGATGGCTAACACAGTAAAATACCCAGTTTGACACATGAATGCTTGAATCACACTAAAGAGTAGTTATTACTCCAAAAGCTGGATGCTGATCAATATTATAGACCCAATGACAAACTTTAAACGGCAGTAGTGGGAACAAACGTCATTAAAACCTTGTATACGGGGTACATGTTTCTTGAACGTGTTTTATGAATAGGCTCATTTAGCTCCTGTCTGATAAGAGTCATAAGTCTGATATTGCACTAACCTCTCGATTGTTGAAACTTAGTACGTAGACAATAAAGCAAATATTTATTTTTTTTAATATTAAAACGGAAAAGATTTTTTACAACTTTTATGGAGCGACACAGATCGAGTAGCACAATGTTGCTTGATTGATATAGTCACAAATATTGCAGGCATTGGAGCGAGGGATGAAATACATGCAATCGAATAAGCATAGATGCAGACCGACGTTCTAGGCAATATCATGAAGGCACATGCTTCACATATATATATGAATCTGCCGTAAACACGTATCTGTTCTGTTGCTCCTTTTGTTTTATGATTCTTAAGCATGCACCAGCTGGCCAAGGTATAAAGCAAAAACTACTGTGGTTATCGACTTACTGCTCGGGGGAGGGGGGGGAAGGGGGAGATAAAATACATAACATGGCTTGCTGGCAGAGCCGGATATTAGCAAGCTTACTAAGCATCACTGCAATGTTAGCGGGTGCTTCCTGAAAAAGCAGGCGTTGGAACTCAACCCATTTAAAAAAAAATTCCGTGAGGTGTTACAGGCCAGTAAACACCTCTGACAAATGTAGCAGTGTGCAGGCACTCTCCCCACACGTGTAAGTAATTGGAATCTTTGCTGATCAGTACAGGCAACTCTGACACTCTGAAGTAGCCAGCAGTGCGATCCCATTCTCTCACGAACAACGTGGGGTCTCACACTTGCATTGTAGCCACCCAGCCAGTCTGGTTGCTACACAGGTTGATGGTCACCCTGCAGACTCTCATTAATTCGTGCAGTCATGCATGAAACTGGTGCACCAGCGTCAGACAAAAGCAAGTGCCAGCAATACCAGTAGTTTACTGTCATGAAAGCAGAGACGGAAATCAGAAGGTCGCGGTGGCAGTAGTTTTTAAAACCAGTAAAATACTAGAAATGAAAATGAACAAAGACTACATTCTTACTACATAATACATTTGTCCACTATGTAATACATTGTTTTTTTAGACAACCGCGCGAATATGCAAGGAATGTAATTCAGCTGCCAAATCAAACGTGCACCTGCACAGGTCCAAGGCAACACTATGAATTTAACACATACTTTATAAATATAATTTAGAAGAGCATCAGAATGTTATCTTACATTTTGGTACCCATTTCCAACTGGATAAATGAACCAAGCAAAGCTATGTAAATGCCACTGACGTTGAATATAGGTGCTAATTGAGGTTCAAGCCTGTCATGTTTTATATGCTTTTACGTACAACACTACAAGCATTCATATTAAAATCAATCATCAATAACAGAGCAGATCTATACAAGTCATGCATATATAGAGTTTTTCGGATATAAAAAACACCCAGCCATCAGTAAGGGAGATGCAATCATGAATAACAGAAAGAAATCACCCAGATAACTCGTCCACAGAATTCAACCTAGCTGCCAGTTGGATGGCATCATGCAACTAGACAGAGTGCACTCACGGAGAGTGCATACCTCCGCCAGCTACATACGCCATACGACTGACGAACACACGAATAACGCACGATATACGCTAGCGTACTGGCATGTACACGCTGGCTCGCTCGCTCGTAGCTGCTGCTCGCTCACATGTACACGCTCGCTGGCTCGCCGCGCTGGCTGGCTGGCTGGCTGGCTGGCTGACGCGCTAATATCGATCGCGCGAACACACAAACGCACGAGAGCGATCACATAACCTCCTCCAACTCCGTTGGGCGGAGGTAAATATGTATACTAAAGCTGGCTGACATAATATTGAGGCCCTGAATGCACATATAATGTAATATGCCTCAGCTCACTACTCCTGGTAAATTTTAAATTACAACAAGCCTGTGTGTTATTGAATGCCTTTTATACAGAAGTCAGGAGCGAGATTTAGAGATGCAATGTGTCGAGGAATGTACTCTGAAATCCTTTATCATATCTATTAAACTTTATTACATGAGGCTATGTAAATCGTTTACAGAAAATGTTGTACATAATTGATCGAACATCAATATATATATATATATATATATATATATATATATATATCACATATCTAGCCTTTATTACTGATGTTATCAAGCCTAACTGGCTCATCTTAATTCTATGTGTTTTATAATAAAGATGTCATGTAACAGAACAGAAAGTAGGACAGAGAAGAAATAGGAGGACAAGTACAAATATTCAGGAGGCAAATGAGATATCCACAGCTATGAACAATTGAAATACTTTGGATATTACATACCTATTGAAAGTAACCTTCAAACTTCGTCATTCTTTAGTTATAAATTGCATACGTTAGACTTCATCACCTGGAGCAAAAAATATTCAATTTATGTGTCATTACAAAATACCATAAATCTTTACCTTCATTATCCATACCATAATATATATATGCCGAATTAACACTGTGAATACTTGTTTTTTTCTGAATGTGAGGTTTCTGTAAAACAACCACAAAATTCATAAATAGGCTAACAAGAGCAGGAACTATAGGTCCATAGGCCCTATAGGGCCGGAACAAGGGCCAACAATAGGCCGGAAGTCACTCTACTCAAAAACAGATTTTGAGTAGAGTGACTGACAGCCACACCTGCATCATAGTGACTTTGAAACTAAAGTTAATATTAGACTAGCATTATGCTGTGTGACCTGTAGTGGGCTGTAACCAAATTGTTTGACGATCGAAACTCTGTACAAGGTGATATGAAGTGGTGAGATATTATAATTATTATTACAGTTCATATAAAATGGACTCAGCCCACTTGTGAAGACAGTATCAAACAATAAAAATTGTAGTAGGGGGACAATCTCATCTAAGATCCAAGTTCTAAATGAGGTATCCTGCAGTTTAAGCAAGTAAAATGGAGCAAGGTATATTCTGATTGTTTTCATAAACTTGTGACATTTAGTAGTTGGGGATTGTTTTGAGCTTTCACAAATATCTAACGCTTAACGTTTTGTTAATATGCACACAGTTGGCTATAAGTATGTAAGACAATTAAATACTGTACAAGAAAACAATTGGGAGAAATTTGAGAAATTCAGAATCTCTAGAAATTTACTCTCTATTTCCTATCATATTACAATTACATAATACAAAGCTGATACACAATGTCAATGACAATAAACTGTAATACATTGTTAACATCTATTATCCAAACCAAGTCAGACATGCAGTGTGGTGGGTCTACCAATTGGAAGACAAAAGCTCAGACCTGCCTCAGCAGTAGAAAAACCGGTTACAAAAATACATTCTCGGTTCCTGAAACCCCTATTACTAACTCAACTGGAATTATAATTGTCACAGAATTTCTACAAAAAAACTATAGTATTACTATTAGTATAACTATAGCTGTACTGTCATACCTAACTCATGTACATATTTACTTTGCCACGTTATTATATAGAGGCAGAATTAATAAAACTACTACAGTGTTCGCATTTAGACATGTGTCACTGTGTGATATCCCAAGCCTGTGACTGGGCCATGTATTGTCAATTTACTCATCGATTCATCATTGCCTTGGCTTGACCTAGACCGAATAATTCTGTTCCAGATAACCTTTTTTATATTTTGGTGAAAGTTATTGGGACAGAACGAAGTGCATTGAAATTTCGTGAGATCGCATGCAAAATGCATGCGCTGCGAATGCAGCCCGTAATCGGCGGGTAAAAAAGTCTACCGTTCCCTTCTACATGGCTTTACCTTGCTACTGATGTGCGTGAATATTCACTTCAATCGTTATTCACTTCTTAAAAGATTGTTTTTCAGAAACCTCGCTTCATTTCACTTTATTAAATCGCATTTGCCATTTACAAACAATCAGACCAATCAGAGCGAGCCTTACAATAGCCTGGTTTTCTCTTGTATCTGTGGCGCTGCAGGAGGGCTAGAGAAAATTATTTTAGTCACGTGGGTTCGTGCGTTCCGCTCTGGTTTTGCTTCAAATTTAAATTTGTATTCCAAATAAATTTCTTCTAAGTAGCCCATTGTGATTTTCTTCTAGGTAGTCGACGTAGTACCCACCAGGGGAAAAAATACACGGGGGCGGCGGGCGATTTCGCCCCCGAAATGCCAAA